ATAGAATATCCTTAGTTTTAGTGTTTGTCAATTTATTTTGAGCCATGTGGATCTTTTTTTTCTTCAAATCAAGTAGTTTCACATTAGATGTGGGCAGGAAAAAAATTGCATGATTCAAGCTAAAACAAGATGGCCAAATATAGCTGCATTTCCATTGACCATGAAAATGTGCAAATTAGAATTTCGAAAATAACTTTGCTCAATGAAAACGCGTCACTTTCGAAAAAAAGAAACTATTTTTTTGACTAAACGTTTTTGCGCTAGAATGAGGTGGTTTTTCGGCCATATCAAAATTGGTGTGTTTCGCAAATCTGCAATGGAAACACTTTTTTCGCAGCACAGGAGTCACATGATCAACAACCGGCTGTTTCTACTGGCGAAAAAGACGAAGAAGAAGCCAACAGGAAGTAGAGGTAGTAGTAAAATGACGGAAGTTGTAAAAGAAAGTAGTAAATTCACCAAATACAATTTCCCAAAAACCGCYGCATACGTAGCCGCTCCCAAGTAAAAGGGGCTTGTTGCTCAAAAGCCTGGATAAGACGCAGACGTCTCCTCTGATGATGAGCGCTAGTGTTGTGGTAACAATATGCTATGTGTTTACATCCATTGCTGCTATGTTTGTAATGACTTATCGCGAGAAAAAACATATTCACGCGTGACTTTAATAGCATTTCTTAATGGAAACACCACAATTGTGAAACCGTGTTTTTCGACATTATCAGAATAGAAAGTTTTGCTCACATTTGCAATGGAAATGCAGCCAATGACTATCTTGACACGCTAGCTTCTCTCAGTAGCTCTAGTAAAAAACAAGCAACAGGTAGCACCAGGTTGGAGACAACTATTTTCATCACCCTAAAATAATTTGGGATGCACCAATGTGAAAAATTTCTGCTGATATTCGATATTATTATTGGTGTTATGGCCGATAACCCATGCTTACCGATATTACACAAACACACAAATTATTTATATACATATACACACAAACACACTTGTGTCTTTTTTCGATACTGTAAATAAACGACCATACCTCTGACATGGCTACCTACCTCAGTTATTCCTGGCTGTGCAGCTTCAACAGCAGCCTGGCTCTTGCCTTCCTACGCAGTTCCGCTCAATTCTAGTTTCCCTTCACTGCTCCGTCTGGGACTGCTCCCATAGAC